TTAACCGAATGAAAAAATAACCTGACCCAAGAAAAATCTTTACAAGTAATTCAAGACCAATTAACTTTAAAGATTAATGAAACTGAAATAGTAGAAACTTCAACTAAAGAATTTGTTAATCAAATCCCTACAAGTTTTGTTAATAATGAGTTACTATTTGAAGAATTTATTAATGATCAAACCTGAGATGAAGTTCTAACTGAAGACCTTTTGAATACTAATCAAGAACAACCATTAGACTATGACCAAAGTAACAAAGAGAAAAGGAAAAATAAAAAGACATTAATTGTTGATCAAATTATTGAAGAACTAAAAATCGAATGTGAAACAAGTGAAGAAAGAAGCTCACCATTTGGAAATGAAAATAACATGTTAACTGCAACCAGAATTATAAACCAAATTCATTGCATAGAAAAACAGAAGGGATACCGGGCACAGATAGATCGTTTAGAAGCAGCATTTTATCTGAAAAAACTAAAGAAGGAAAATAAACAAATCAGTGATCAGATTAAAAGTAAGTTAAAAACAGAATTTGGAGAACAAAAAGTGAAAAAAATATAAAAACAAGCAACCAGAACCTTTCTTTTATACTCCAAACATGGACTAGAAAAGCTCTATAGAACAACAAAAGTTAATATAACAGTGTTAGAAGAACTAACACCAGACCAATTCAATCAACTAATCCAATAGAAACATAATGAATTAATGAAAGTTAAAAGAATAAATTTTATTTATTTGGCACAGAGATACTATCAATTAAGTCCTGCAAGTTTCTATTTTAGCTCTTAAAACACTTTATTTAATAATCAAATTCACATACTGAATGTTTCTTTCTTAGTTCTCCGCTTGAACCACTCTAATACAAAATATAGCAGCCTCTACTTCTTCTTCTAAATCTTCTATTTGACCTCTTAAATCTTCTACCTGTCCTTCTAAATTATTTACTTCTTCTCTTAACTCTATCACTTTGCTTCATAATGCTACTACTTGAGCTTGCAATGTTTTAACTTCTCTGGCTAGTCTAATTAATTATTATTTTTTTATAATTTAGCAATCCTGCCTCTATTTATTTGAGCTTAAGCTATTCAAAAATTATATATTTCTATCTGTAGCTATTGCTAATTTAACCAAACTAGAAACTTATCCCCAGCTTTTGCCTAGGTGTGACCTGTTTTAGTAGTTCTTGGCTTCTCACTAGATTCCTAACTCACTAAAGATTTATTTTCCTTTAGTCATCGGCTGGCGACTACTCGCCTTGTCAGTACTACCTAATTATATTTATATTCACAATGTAATTGCACTTTGGCCATGGCCTGTACTTGCAAACAATGCAAAGTATTGAATTGCTAATCTTAAAATAAAATTATTATGTTGTGTATTTTCTATTCTATGCATTTTAAAAATTCTGCTACTACTTAATTTTTCCTGTGATTTTCTATAGTTACCCCAATTTATCCTTTCATCTTTTATTTCCTTATTTTCTACTGGTAGTCTGCTTTGACGCTTCAGTCTTCTATTTTTCCTCTTCTTTTTGTGTTTCTTTCAGTTCTTAAGATTCACCTTGCTCTTCTTACTCTTGATAGTATTCTTTATACAGGTTTTCTTCATAAGTTTTCGTTTGTAGCTCTTCTCTTCTTCTATTTCTTTTCATGTTACTTAGATTCTTCTACTTTTAGTTC